TCTCTCTGTCCATTTTTTCATCCTTTGCCCTCTCATTCTTTCTCCTTTGTCAAGTTAGATTACTTCTCTAGGTGAAATTGTAAATGCATCATTTACACATGAGTGAATTTCTGGAGTCAGACAGACCTCTTTGGCTCTATTACTTTGATTTCACATACTGTAAACTAAAATTCTTAAAAAAATAAATAAATAAATAAAACACAACATCAGCCATGCAGGGAGAGCGTTCATGCTGCCTTTTAAAGGGATAGTTCACCCAAAAATGACTGTTCCATGTTGTTCAAAACCTGTATGATTTTGTTTCTTCAGCAGAAAACAAATGAAGATATTTTGAAGAATGTTTCTACTTTTTTTGTCCATGCAATAAAAGTCAGTAGGGACCAAAACAACATCGGACCCCATTGGCTTTCATTGTATGGACAATAAATGAAATTTTACAAAATGTTTTGTGTTCCATAAAAGAAAAGCAAACAATCAAATTTTAAAATCCTCCTAGTTTTAATGCCTTTATTCCTCCTTACTAGTTTTGTAAACTCCCTCTTTGTTACAGAGGAACTGGTTGTAAATATTTCCCCTGGATGTTTTTTTCTTAAGATGAAAATACTCAGGTCTTGTCTCCTAAACAGTTAAACCTTGGGCAGTCAGAAGTATGATGGGAAATTATATCCCATATGCTTCAGACATCATCAAAATATGTCTTACGATTTGCATTTAGACGAGTTGATTATTATTATGCACCTTTGTGATGTCAGAGCAGATACCGTAGGAATAGACAGCATACTCATGTTAAACAGTGAATGAAGAAGAGCATGTGTGACAAAGATAGCATAATTATGACATTTACTTTAGAAAAGAAGTGTCACATTGTCCCTGTGTCAGATTCAAGGTAATCAAAATGATGACAAATGGTGACAATGATGAATTGTTGATTTTCATCTTAATCTTGGTTGAGATTTAAATTTAAAAGTTGTTTTATCATTAACTGAGGGTGCAGATGTGATGTAAAACCAACATCAGATTGCAACGTTGGTTTAAATTGCATGTTAACGTCGACTGAACATTGTTGCAACGCTTGTTTGCTATATGGGATGAAAGTGTACACTGTTATGACATAAAATGATTAATTATACATGTTATGTACTACACTAATGCAATACTGATGTATATCTATGTAAATCTTTGCTCTTGCAAAGAATGTACTTGAACTTTGAACCTGAACTTGAATTCTGCTTTCTTGTTTTGCCAACCTTAATTTCTTGTCATTTCCTTACATGACTTTTAATATCACAATTTCTGATGGGAATCTAACAAAACTCAGGTCTCATGAAAAGCTATTTTACTGGTTATACAACAAAGTTTTTTTTTAATACCTCCGTGTGCAGTGTGGAAAGCAAGATAGATTATCAGTATTGTAAGAACAAACCCATCTTTTGTGTTTACCCATCTTTGAGAGTTTTCTCTTTTACACGTTAATTTATCACTTGGGCACAGATAGAAAATGTGAAAGATGTTTAATAAATCATAAAGGTTTTGTAAAAGAGTAGTTATATTTAGATGGGTTATAATTCATTTTTACGTCATATAATTCTTTATATTTGTGCAGACCTGTCATTTGTAGTACTGTACCATTTTTTTTTTGAGCCAAACACATGTGACTAATTACTTTGGCTGATGGAACCAGAAGAACGTTCACAGTTACAAAACTTTCATTAGCAACTATCCTGATCTGTGAAGGCAGCAAATGGGAGAAAAGGTTTTCAAGGTTTTAAGAGCGTCCAAAACCTGGTAAAACAACTACTGTAATTTAATGAAATATTACCAAATATTGCAGTTCCAACATCTGCCAGCAGGGGCTAATGGGGTCATGTGAACCAAACTTCCAGTTATTATTCCAGTCTCGATATAACTTCAAATCTATTTGAAACCTGTGGTAATCGACAGATGCTGTTGATTACCACAAAGCATCATCTTGACTCATTCCTGAGTTTGAAAAAACAACATCATATGCTAGCGTTCTCATATTGTTTCATACCTATTCAACTTTCTTTCTTCTATTGAAAACAACTGCAAATAATTATGAAGAACAGTACTCATTGTTTTCCATGCATTACAATGAATGGAGACTTCCAAACTTCAAAAAGCACTCAATGTGATGAAAACCTTAAAAGAATCATAAAAATGGTCCATATGATGTGCTATTTTCCATATATTCCATATATTTCTGTAAGTAACAGTATTTTCAGGGAATAACAAATAACTAATACATTTCAGTCTGTTCCTCACACAAGGTTTTAAAACATATGGACCACTTTTATGGTGCTATTATGTGTTCTTTAGTTCTTTAAAGTTTCTCCTGTTCTGTCCACAAAGAAGAAAGAAGGTCTTATGGATTTGGAATAAGATGAAGATAAATAATTAAATAACATTTTTTTTAACTACATCCATTTACTTCTAACTTGGAATATTCCTTTAGGTTCTAATCTAAAGACTCACTATGATTGACTATGCCGGAAATAGCACATCTTCTCATGCTTGGGTAACAGAGAATTCATAGAAGCAAAAAACACTTTCCAGTCTGATTGGCAAAAGAGATGAATTGAAGCATTTCTCCAAGGTTCCCCTTTCACATTCTCTTACCAAGTGAGGTGATTTGGATAAAATGCCTCATTACACTCTAATCGTTAGACTATTCAAACATCAGCGACTGGAATCAAACTTCTAAACCACAGCAAAATAGACAAGCTAAGCACTCCATGTTAACAATCATATGTTTCCTCAAATAATGAGTTCTAATAAAGTCGAACTGCATTTCAAAAGAGGGCAGGGAACTACTGTTCAGGCATGTTCCGTTGCTTCTCATATAAGTTACTGCAGTTTGCTAGTTCTCCACTGTAATATTTTTTGATGCACTGACATTTAAAATCTGTTTCTGGTGGACCAGTTATCGACTAAACATCTCTCTCTTTTTTTTTTTTTTTTTTGGGTCAGCAGCTTGGTAGCGAGCAGTTCTGGCAGTTTAGGCGAGTTCTGCTACTGAAAGAGAGAGAAAATGCTCACCTATTGAGAAGAAACAAAGCAACCTCGGCGTCCGATCGCAGGCCTCCGCTCCTTGAGTTCTCTCCAGCGCTGGAAAGCTGATCCGATATTTACACGGGTCCTACTTCTTGCCTTATTGTTCCGCAGACGTTTTCCTCTTTTGTTTTTTATCCGCCATCTCTATCTTTCTGTCGCTAGGCTCGGCTAATGTCCGTCCCATGTACTGAAAGCTCTCTCCTCCACATCACGAGTAGACACGCCCCTTATTGCTGATTGGCTACAAGTTTGTTTTGCTATTAGGCCCGAATCCGTTTTCTAAAGTGTTTTTGAAAAATCACATACCCTGCCTTTAAGAAGGGGGAACAATTTATCATAGCACTGCAATGCCGACAGCTTCCTGTTTATAATGCCAGCCAGTTCCTGCAGCTACCTTAAAGAAGACTAGAATCTAAAATAATGCAACATATGTAACATAAAACACCCCATGCACTTAATTAATAATTAAAAAGGAAGAAACATAACATTTTAGATAATATAAAGAAATGTCATGGGTCTTGCAGGTACTTCAGGAATAAATGAATACTTTTAACTTAAGAAAAAAAAACTAAATGTTTACAATTTATATAATTTCAACTTCATAAAAATGCAATTAAAAGTACATTTTTAATTAAAAATACGTTTTCATTTTTACATTAGCATGAGCCCAAAACTTTTCACTTCCGTTTTTATAGATTTTCTATAGCATTTTAAAGACCATCCCACCCTCTATACGATTATTTCTACTCCACCGTGTCCAAGAATCTGTTGATTTCTTCAGTCGAGTAGACTGATGACACGCAATGCTTTGTTCAATTTTTCATCTTTAACTCCGCCCATACGTACAAGTCATCACACATGTCCCCGCCCACCTGCGTTGGCGTCATCAATTCAAATTGGTATCGAAAGCAGAGTGGAGCTTGTGGAGCTTGTGGCGACTGGCGAGTCAGAGCGCATGCTGCACGGAGAAGGGAGGTACGGACTGTACTGCACGGTCTTTTTATATTTCGTATGAGCACAACGCCTTGATTTGTGAAGATGTGGACGGCTATAGGGAAACTGCTGCTTTTACATATGATACTCGTGGGGTTTCTGCTGGTAAACGGTAAGTGTCTGTTTTACGCTGTCGGTCCGCTGTTATTAATGTAAATGATGCTGTAGAAACACCGGCGCAGCCGCGTGCATCTGCTTCCTTTGACGAGACGTTAATAGAGCGCTAAGTTATATCACGAAAATCTCTTTAGGCAGTTTGTATTGTAATGAATTGCAATCTGATCAAGTACATGTTGTTCTTGCCCTGCCGTGTTCATTGCGGGGTTTACAAGAAGAAAGCGATTTTGAATGTAATTACAATAGTCTATTCTTCAAGGTCTACGATAGTAGTACACCACTGAAAGTAACACATATGCATTAGCGCAACTTTACTCCTACTGAATGTGTCTTGTGCATCATTCATTTAATTGTTTGTGCACACGTGTAATTTCTCATAGACAACAGTTATAGTTTACTGCAACCTGTCATTGCACATGTGCACATCGATTTTACTGTGATAGTATTGCCTAACAGATGTTAACAAAACTATGTACACAGTGACTTGTAAAACTGTCAACAATTGCTAAGAATGTGCTCAAATGTTTTTAGAATGTCTTTACATGACACCTATTTTCAAACCTTTTTGAAGTTTTAAGTTTGTAAAGATTTCAACAGCTTTTATTGATGTACAATATGTGAATCTAAAATAAAAATTATATGTAATATTGTGCTTTGTAAGTCACCCAACAGTTTGCTTTGACATCCTTTGGGGATGTTGGGTTAAAGATGTAACCACATATTGAAGATTAGTTTTTGGTTTAAAAGTTTGATCCTCCCAAAATTTGGACCCTGCATTTACTCAAAACGTCTTGTATGACAGGAAATAACCCGGACTGTGAAAGCGGTCAGTTTCAATGCAGGAATGGCAGGTGTATCCCGACTCCATGGAGATGTGATGATGATGATGACTGCTCGGACAACAGCGATGAGGAGAATTGCCGTGAGTAATCTGAACCTCTTTTTAACAGATGACTTATGTAGCCATGCTGGTATCCTCTTTGTTCCTCATTCGCCTGAAATCAGAAATTCTGTTTAAGTAGACCACTTGCTGGGTTTTGAAACAGGAATAATCTTAACATGCTGTTTTTTTGTAAAGCCTCCAACTGTCACGAGTTGTGGCTTTAGGTACCTTCACACTGGATGTTTAATAGATTTTACTTCCCATTTTTATATATTATGAAGTATCATGTATTGGACTATGCACTTAATGTGTATCTTTTGTGAAGATGCTTGTAATCGCACATTATTATTGTAATTAAAGTCACATGTATAAAATGGACATTGTCATTTAAAGTGAGAGTGCGATCGTGCTCTGAGTTTGCATGGCATTTTAAGTGGGCGTATTTTGAGCATATTATTAGACAGACATCCAGTTATTAGCTGTAAATGGAAGTAGGACTTTGCAGGAAGTTTGACAGTCAGGATTGATTTTTTTTCAGGACCTGCTAATGAAAGACAAACATAAATCGTAATCAGCAAGTCAAAAGACTTAATTGAGATGTAGGCTACAGAAGAGGGGAGAAAGGCGCAACTGGTACAAAATGTAATTATCCCGAAGTATTGGTCACAGTATTAATTGCAAGTGCAGTAATTATCATGGCTAGTTGATTAATATGGTAAATTGGAGGCACAGTGGAGAGAATGTTTTTTACTTTCAAAACTGATGGAATTAAAAGTCTTGAAGTTACATACGGTCATGCTATAAAGTAACAATCGCTCGTATTGATCAATAGGAAACCACCTGATCTGACTTAAGTTATTTTAATTTGTTCCAGTTTGATTTGAGAGAAATAAAGAAATTATTACGCTCAGAATTTTCTGTGTTATTGCCAACTTTCATTCCACCAGGTTCAGGTTTGTCGCATGCACCTGGTGTTTTATTGGAGTTGGTTATGCTCGTTTAAATGGACTCATGCTAAGGTGCCCAATTACACATGGTATCTCCAGCAGGCAGGGTATCTGTTGGGTTTCTCCCCAGGTAGAAGCGCTCTCTTGGGCTGTCAGTGGGCTGAATGCTCCTCTCTCTCCTCTGGATGTTTCCCCCCGGACTTGGACAGACATTGAATTAGAATAATACCTTAAGGATTGTGCTTTGCACTCCCCTCCCAGACACAACCTACTCACAGAATTGGCAGGATTCCTCTTTAGTTGCCCATGGAGACAGTAATAGCAACACTTCACGACACATATTGCTCCCTCTCCCTCTCTTTCTGTGTCCCTTTTTTCAGTACCAAATTCTAATCACAGAGCTTTGTGTCTGAAGATGAAGTGGGCTCTTTGGTAGAGACTGGCTTAGTGGCTATTTATGTGTGTCAGGATGGCCTTCAGTCTTAGATGAACGTCACATGGACGTGTATTATTACAACACAAATTGTTATACACTGTAAAGTGTGTTTAGCAGTTTAATTAAAAAAGAAAGATTGTTTCATAATTTGCTTGTACACTGCCATTCAAAAATGTGTGTTTTAAATAACTTTGAAAGAAACCTCTTACGCTTATCAATGCTGCATTTATTTGATCAAAGAAACAGTAAAACAGTATTATTGTGAAATATTATTACAATCAAAAAGATCAGTTTTCTGTTTTAATGTATTTTAAAATGTAATTTATCCCTCTGATGGCAAAGCTGAATGTTAAGCAGCCATTTCTCCAGTCTTCAATGGCACACTTTCCTTCAGAAATCATTCTTTTGTAACATTATAAATGCTTTTGTTGTCACTTTTGATCAATTTAATGCATCTTTGCTGAATAAAAGTTTTTTTTTGTTGTTGACCCCAAGCTTTTGAACGGTAGTGTATTCTGTTCAGTAGATGTTTTGTGGAGCAGAAATGTGCCAAAGATATGTAATTTTGCAGCTTGTAAGCTTAGAGAGAGAGAGAAAAAAAGATTTTGAATAATGTTGACTTGGGTGTTTTTTCTTGTTACTATTCCTTGTTGTATATATTATTTCACAGTGACTTTATTTTCTTTGAAGAAAGACATTATAACTGAAAAAAACTGACAGAAGGGGACAGAGCTATTTTCTTTTTTTTTTTTTCTTCTTTTTGGCTCAGATGCGCGTATTATGTTGGAGTTGCCACTCTCAGACATCACAACAGATTTCATGGCTGTTTTTTAATAACCCGTGTTTCACATACCTTTACCAGAAATATAATGAGGCGCCATCTCACTTGCACATACACAAATACACATAATCATTTCTTTTTCTCTCAGTCTCTTAAAAAGAGGTCAAATAGGGCATGTCATACAAGGTCACAGGTCAGAGACATAATCAGGTATCCCATCGAATCTGTTGAGATAATGAACCTAACCCCCTGTATCACACGCATGGGTTGTTTCAGAGACACGAGAGATGCCTGTAGGAATAATATCTCGTTTTTATATATAAAATTACTGTGCAAAGCTGGTCTGTGTTAGAAGAGTTATGCATTATGTGCAGCTGTTAGACTGAGCTCTTGTATTACGTGTCTAAATGCACTCCTTTCTTATTCAAACCACACACACATAGTACACACACAGAGTGAAGCGGAGCCAAATGAATGAGCAAACACTGCTTTTAGTATAATCATTTCCTGGTACTGCTCTCCAGGTATTGCAGCACCATGCGAGGAGGATCTCGTTTGTTTACTTTGAGGTAGAAAGTATTCCTCATGGGAATGTAAATGTGTGTGTGTTTTTTTTTTTTTTAATGTGCAGGTTTAAAGGGGCCATAGGATGCTACATGCACTTTTGCAAGTTGTTTGAACTGAAATGCGTGTTGGCAGTGTGTGTAGTGGCAGAGCTCATTAGCATTTAAAGGAAAATGCTACAAAAACGGCTTGATCTGAAAAGAGCTGTTTTTGACAGGGTAAAAGTGTTTTTTACACTACCATTGAGAAATTTTAACCAAACTATGTTACAGACTTTTCATTAAGACCCTAAAGAATCATATCAACTTGTGGAAAATGGGCATCCTATGGCCCCTTTAATAAAAATGTCTGATTAAAATGAGACGTCAGTGCCTGTTAACAGGAAGAAAGGAGAGTTTAGTGAGAAATCAATATTTTTATGATGTGTAAGTTCATGATGTCATACTGAGATGTTCTGACCTGTGCAATTGCAGTGCAGATATCCCTGTGCTGAACACTTCGCATCACTTTGATTTTCTCTTATTACACCCTTCTTTTATATATTTTGTGTTATGTACGTTTTCTGATGAATTGGTCTGTGAGTTGTTTCTGGGAAAAAGGAAGCAAATACAACGATTTTAGGATGTGTTTTCAAACAGGATCAGCAGGTTTTTACATCTTGCATTTCCTCATTAAATAAATAATTCAGACAAATATTTGGTCATTTGGTCAGTGTTTACTCTCTCTCATGTCATTCCATGACTTTGTTTCATTCGAAAACGGACTGGGAAATTTTGTACTGGTCAGTCTTTTTCACGCAGTTACAATGAATGATTACTGAAGCTTTCAGGCTTCAAAACAGATGTGAAAGCATCATAAAAAGTGTCATAAAAGTAATAATAAAATATCATAAAAGTTTTTTGAAGCCATTTGATATCTTTAAAGATAACCAGACAGTTTGTGTGATAATTCATTCATCACTGATGCTATCCTGTGAGCTGTTAACTGTTGCAAACTGGATCAGCTAAATTCCCGAATGAATCATTCAGACCGGTTTTGATATCTGGATCAACTGATTCATTCAAAAGATCAGAATGATTCATTCTCAAATTGGGGAGTGCTACTTTTCTCATAAACTCTTGAATGCACCAAGGAGAGCTAGTGCAGATGTTAAGATTTTAAGTGAGTAATGATTTATAGTAAAATGTATTTTGTCATTTTGGACCTTGAGAGCCTAGTTCTCAGGATATTCTTCTTAAATTTGTCCCACAAACGAAAGAAAAAGCAAGTCATGAGTGTGAATAAATGAATTTTCATTCTTGGGTGACCTTCTCTAGTGATCAATGTCACGATGCTCCTCCAAATCGCACTGGCAGAGAAATCTTGAGTGACTTTCCTTTGTTTGAAATTGTAAAGCATATGTTGTATACGAAGGTGAGTTGTAAGCATGTGTGGAAACCAGTTACTGCTGTGGTAATTATTGCTGGCTTTTGTTATTGCCCAAGGGCTTTGTTGTTCAGTTAATATGATCAGAAAACATGCATTAGTGCGTTTGAGAGACTGAGCGTGTGTTTGTGGTGGCGGGAGTGAAGTTATTGTGAAACAAAGACCCAGGTGACCATGAACTGTCCATGTGCATAATATAAATCCAATTAGTGTCTCTCCATGTTTATGTGTGTGTGTGTGTGTCAGAGAGAGTGTGGATATGCCATATCAGTGGGTTTATTTCAGTTCAAGGGCAAGAAGGTCCTGCTTGTGCAAAAACACAAAATCTTCAAAATACTAAAGCATACGCTGGTTTTTACCCAAGTAGCACTTATGTCCAATTGATGGTGTCTTGTTTGATTGTGCGAACATGAAGCTTTCAGTCTGTGTCCTCTCCAAACTGTCACGCTTTCAACACTCACGCATATATACGCATTTCTCAAACTGTAGAGAGTATATGGGACCTTTTTAACTAGCATTTCCTCTGTAATGCTGATATATTGTGAAAATGTATTCATTAAAGGGGTCATATGATGCTGCTAAAAAGAACATTATTTTGTGTATTTGGTGTAATGAAATGTGTTTATGCGGTTTAAAGTTAAAAAAACACATTATTTTCCACATACTGTACATTATTGTTTCTCCTCTATGCCCCGCCTTTTTGAAACGCGTCGATTTTTACAAAGCTCATCGGGTAATAGAGCCGAGGTGAGCGAGAGAGACAGAAACAAAGAGAGGTGACGTACGTGTTTTTGCCTGCATATTGTGGATATTGCCTGGATATTGTGGATAAGCTTTTTGGGTGAGTTTCATGAAATCTTGGGACTCTTGTTTGTTCTCTGCGAGT